GCACATGCAATCACAAAGATGTTGCATGACCTTGCAAACAGCTCTTGTTTGAAGATTTGACTTCTGACAGTGCTCTTTAGATAATTGTCTCTATTGCAAGAGTAGTTTACCTCTTCAGTATCTTTGTAACTATATGGTTATAAACATTGTCAAATATGCAGTGTTATTAGCCTACTCCAGGAAAATGTTCTGACATAAACATACTGTCCCTATCTGCTTCATTTTTCTCTGTGCACGTTCTACATGAGTTTAACAGATAAATTTCAATAACTGAACCATTTGCATAATATTTGTGAATCTTCCTAACTGAACACATCAGATGTTTGAAACTAAACTTAGTAATTTCCCTTCTTTCATACAGCAAAATCTTATTTATCTAGGATCATCTATTTCATCTATTACAGCTTATGAGTAGGTGGCTTACAATGAAAAATGATGGTTAATATTATAAGAATGTTCAACCCAGTAAGTGCATTTTGACAGGCTTTGATGGCTTGAAATCAGTCTTTGTGTTCAGAATGGATTACCAGATTTATTTAGTTGCCGCAGCATGTTTTTGAGTTTATGCTTTGTAAGTAAATATTTTGCTTACTTAAACCAAAAGCAGTTGTGGCTAAGCACTTACAGGGGTATTTTCAAAACCGCCTGGCAGCTTTTAAAGCTCCCGCTAAAGCCGTGATGAGATTCCCACTGGGAAACAAAGGCCAGTGTGAGCACATATGAAACAACTTCTGTGCTTAATTCTTTGCAGAAAAACAGAAAAGCTACAGTTCGGCATCAGAAATTAACATAAGCACAACCACCTGGAGGTTTATTCATGGAGAAAACAATGGAATTAATCTTTGTATCCTTTGTTCTTTATTCGTGCTGGAATAATGAAGGAGGAGTGAAACAAGCTGGCACTAGGATTCAGTTTGCTTGGATTATTCCTGTTTCCACATTCCCACGTGATTCACCCTGAGATGCTGTACAGTGGGTCTGGCCTGATTAGGCAACTCAATTAGCCCTGATATTGCACTAAAATTCCACCCATGTGTGTTCTGAAGCTGCAGAACTGTGGCATCACAGGGCAGGGAACAGGCAGACCAGGAGAACTGCTGAATATTTTATGTGCAGACTCTCCACAGGGAACCCCGACGTGAATTTGTAGGTGGAGTGGCGACAGACCAACTCTTTCCATCTCCAGAAGAGCTCCTGGTGGCATGATCCATGTCCCTTCCTGCTGCTGTGCTCATGGGGATTGGCAGGGCCTGCCCAGTTCCTTGGAAATTAATTGCTCACCATGGCAATAATTGACAGGTCACCGTGGCATATCGGATTAATGTTACTGTTGATGGTAGGAAAATGATCCAAATGGGAGGAATCCTGCAATGGCTTCATTTCAAGGGTCAGTATTTGCAGGGTTTGTTTTGTAGTACCATATGTTTTCAGGTTTTCAGTAAAGTACACAAGGATCTCACTACTTCTAGCTCAAAGTGTGTTGGCTGGAAGAGTTACACAAGTAGGAATTTCTACAGATTTCTTCACTTGGAAGTCATCTGCCATTTCTGCTAACTTAATTTAAACTTCTGCTGTGTAATCAGTTAAAAAAAAGAAATTAAAATCACAATTTTGTGGGTTTCAAGGTACAAACCCTCCAAGTTATCCTCTGTGTGGATCTGCTGAGTTTCATGGTGACTATCACAGACACACTGTGGTTCAGATTTGTCAGCAGTCTGGAATTTTGCAGGAAATTCTGTGTCTTTTCCTTCTGTCTGTCTGGGATTCAAATACTGTCTCTGCCTTCTACACATCCATCAAAACAAATTTGTGCAGGTGTAATTTCTGCAGCAAACAATCCTGAACTTTAAAACTGATGCATCATCATTTTCTCAATCACAGCCTTTTCAGTAGGGTTTTGGGTTTGTTTTTTAAATAGAAGTGTTTGAGGCTTCATGCTCATACCCATAAATCACTGACACTTTCCAGAGCTGAGTGAAAGGCTGAATTAACACTGTGTAATCATGTGGGCATGGAGCACTTACCAGGCAGGTTACTAGAAATAAATGGTCACTCACCATAACTTTTAAAACAGATAATTTGATGGTTGGTTGGTGCTTTCTGCCAGCTGATCACAGTTCCTCTGGAAAATGTGATCTGCAACTATCAAAACGAGCCATTTTATAACTTCAGGGTGGAATATTCTGCCTGCCTGTCTTAGCTGCTCTTTTAAATAGCATTGAACTTGCTAAATGGCTACTGTGATTATCTAGGTAACCTTTGAAGGCTGTGGTTAGGGACTACATTTTTGTCTTTTATTTGAGTAGACCTTGACTATCAAAGCAACTCAGTGTGAGTACAGACAGCAGTGATACTATATGTCATACAAAATGTGTAACCCCATGTGCACCAGTGACTGCTAAGTTACTAGTGAGTGCCTAAAAGAAGTAATTTCATGGATAGTGGTGTAAGACAACAAGAGGCAAAGTTAAGTTTTGCTTGTTTGTGTTCTATTCTGCATGAAACAAAGTGTTAGAGAGATGCTACTTCCCTCAACAAGAGAAAAAACCAAGGGGTAGTTTGTTGCAAATCCACTACTCCCTACTGACAATTAGTTAAATCACCTGGTAAGTTTTAAAGTCTGTTTTAACTTCCTGCCTCTTTTTTTGTGCATTCAAAAGCAATGTGTCTGGCTCTGTTTCTGTTAAATACTGTGAATTTCTCACTTTGGTCTTCAATATTGTGTAAAGTGTAAGAAAAGACCCCACCAAAACACAAAGCAAACATTCCCCAAAACCCACCAACCTTACTATGATAATTCCTCTCAATCAGTTTATGAAAACTTATTGTTGCTGGTTTAAAAGGGTTCAGTATTTTCATGAGAATTTTCATAGCTCATGAGCCACAGGACTAGAATCTGCACCATGGCAATTTCTTGTTGGTTTTGTTTGTTTGTTTATAGTTATTTTAGTTCTTCTAAACTTGTAGTTATTTTTGAGATTTGGACATGTAACACTGTTTTCTTGCCAGTTTCAGCATTGCAATGTGCTCTTATGTCTAGTAATGAACAGGCAAATAGTAAAGTAGGTGTTAGTTTGCCTGTTCTGTAGTGAAAAAGCTGGGAGGGATTTTTTTCTGCTAGTTTTGTATGTAGTTTTAAAGTAACTTATTTTGATAGGAGCCTTTGCAGAAACCTTAGAGCTATTATTAAACTTTTGAAGATGTGATGCTGTTTCAGTAGTTTTGCATATTAAATTTCTTCCTTTACATGACTTTCTACAGTTTGCCCCAGAGCCTAAATTATTTCTGTAACAACTGAGAGTAACTTCAGTGTTCCCCTGGACATATTTCATGCTGATCAGATGTATCAGGGAGGGTTGCTGAGATCTGGTTTGCTTTTATCCTTTCTTCAGCTGGTACCTGAGCAACAGCTGTGTTTTCTTCTGCTTCCTTAAACCTGCTCTGTTGCTTCTGTTTCCAGATTTAGCCATCTTACACATTTTTGTTTCCTCTGCTGAGACATAATGGGAGGTTGCTTTGTCTTTGATCTTCGTTTTTCTTTAGAAATCCTACTTCAGCTTCCGAAGAGAAAAAGTGTTTTCAGTTCTAACAAACTGAATGTGCTTTAGCAGTTTTGACCTCATTCCCTGAAAAACTGTGCCCGTGGGATTGCGTGCTGGGAATTGCAAGGTGGGTGTTACGCTGAGCTATTAGTGTGGTGGCAGGAGCCAAGTGATGTCTGGGGGTGTGGGAGCACCATTTCTTGTCTCAAAAACTGAAAAATCTTGGTGAAGGCTATAAATAGATTCATTTAGGTTGAAAAAGACCTTTTAGAAGATGGAGTACTGCATGTGCCTGATGGGAGGAGCTCGGGATGGGAACAGGGAATGGTCAGCACGAGGGTGAGCTAGACAAGCTGAACCATCAGTGCACCTGAGTGTCTGTCAGTGAGAACAGCCCGAGGACTTCTTGGCTTTATGGGACATGCTGGTGGCAGATGTGGCTTGGAGACTTATGTGCTGGTGGTGTGAGCAAGTGCCAAAGTGAGCACTGAGGGAAGGTCTCAGCGCTGTGGGCACTGAGGGAAGGTCTCTGAGCACTGAGGGAAGGTCTCAGCACTGAGGGAAGGTCTCAGCACTGAGGGAAGGTCTCTGAGCAATGAGGGAAGGTCTCAATGGGCACTGAGGGAAGCTCTCAGCGCTGTGGGCACTGAGGGAAGGTCTCAGCACTGAGGGAAGGCCTCAGTTAACCTGCGCCACCTAGCGGTCTGTGCTGCTGCTGCTGGAACAGAGAGAGTTTACCACAAAAACTCTGTGAATGAGTTTCCTTTTCAAAGTGTGAAGCCCTGGGAGAACCTCAAAACTCTCAAATTGGGCGCTGAGGTATATTAAATGCAATTAAAAATGCTTCTTGGCCATGATCTTGCAGTCCCTTGCTGGTAGCACATCACCTGCACACAGGAGTGCTCTGCGGGTGTGGGCTCTGAGCTGCTTGGTTAATATTCTCTTCTTCAATCAACATATCTTGCAAATTACCTGGTAAATATTAATTTGTTCACAAGTGTAAAAGTGCTTTAACTCCTATCCTTAAATGAGCTGGAGAGGGGCTCTGTGTTAGGAACTGCAGTGATAGGACAAGGGGTAACAGGTTGAAATTGAAATGTTTTAGAGTAGATATTGGGAAGAAATTTTCCCTGTGAGGGTGGTGAGACACTGGCACAGGGTGCCCAGGGAGGCTGTGGCTGCCCCAACCCTGGCAGTGTTCACAGCCAGGTTGGATAAAGCCTTGAGCAACCTGCTCTGGTGGGAGGTGTCCCTGCTCAGGGCAGGAGTTGGGGCTGGATGATCTCTAAGCTCCATTCCAACCCCTAAAATTCTATGATTCATGATAATTGGAGTTGGACTTCCACTTTGACATGCAAATATTTCAACTTCACGCTCATACAGTTCACATTCCCTCTCCATCTCCCTCCTCCCCCTCCTTGATAAAACACTGTAATTAATCAGTGCTTTGTTTTCAAGGTCACTTCCTGGTACGACAGCAGCTGAGTGTGCATCAAATGTGAAGAAGATTTATACAGTACAAACAGTGCAGGTGAGGTGTTTGGCACTGCTACAGGAGCTGCCACGGGTTATTAATGTAACTTCACACCTTAAGTTTCGCTTTTCCTTGTAGGATGAGTCATACCTGTGGCTTTGCTTACCTGTGGCATGAAACATCAGTGTTGTTGGTGTTGTGTGTGTGTATTACTGAGTCACTGTTTGAATTTCATTTGGCTTTCCAGATCAGGAAAGAAGGAGCATATTGGATTGGGCATATTGGATTGCTAAACTCTCCTGAGTTTCCACTTGTACCTCCATTGGATTGTTATACTTGATGTATTTTAAGTAATTTTTCTGCCTTTTTCTTCCCCCCCCCATGTATTTTAATACAGAAATTCATTACACAAAGACTAAAATAACAGCTTGGGGAGGGTTTTTTTTGGTCTTTCCTCCTTGGGCATGAATTAGAATAAATAAATTCTAGCAAACTGAATTAAAGTATTCTTAAATCATTGCAGCAGTGAGAAATTCTGCATGTCTGTGTCTGCCAGTGCCTAGCACTGGGCATTGCTTGCAAGCAAAATTGTGTTTCTGTTTTAATACCACACTTAGCAGGAAGTGTAGCAAATTGGTATTTGTCTCACCTCAATGCTAAGCTGACTCTAGTTCACTAAATCTCTGAAGCTCTGAGGTAATGCCAAGCCCTTCTCTTTGAGAAGCTCAGCAGTAGTGATCTGATGAAGTTTTACATAAGGCTTTCACATGAAGGTCTGCACTACTTTTGTTTAGCCTTGAGAAGAGACCTCATGGCTCTCTCCAACTCCCTGTCTGGGGGTTGGAGAGAGGTGGGGGATAATTCTCCTGCCATGGCTGCAGGGAGAGGACTGAGACAGGCGAGAATCACATTGGATGTTAGGATATTAGGAAAAATTCTCCCTGTTAGAGTGTTCAGGTGCTGGGATATTGCCCAGGGAGGTGGTGGAGTCACCATCCCTGGAAGTGCTTAAGAGGTGTCTGGATCTGGCACTGGAGGATATGGTTTAGGGGTTAGACCAATGACAGGGTAATGGTTGGACCTGATGATCTTAGAAGTCTTCTCCAATCTTGATGATTCTATGATTCTACTTGTTACATCACATGAGATGTTTCTTTCTAGCTAATTGGCCTAAGAAATGAATTGAGTTTTGGAATTTTTTGGAGATGAGATTATCAATGGAAGTTCTTTGGCATAAAACATGGAAGTGTCCTTCATATCCCTCTCACCTCTCTGTGTCAGCAGAATGTCCTCATCAGTCATGCAGTGAAGTGACACTCTGAAGTCAAAGTTGACAGCAGAATTGGTATTGTTTCAAAACAGGCTGCAATGGTTCTTGTTGAAACAAGGACCATTTGAGATCATGGACTGGTGTGCACAGTACCTGGTGTTACCCGTTTTCCCACTCTGAATCCAACCTTCATTATTTAAATCATTAGGTTTTATTGGATGAAAAACCTGATGTTTTCTTCCCAGAGAGTTGGCATTTAAAATACAGAAAGTTCCTTCAGTTCTTTTGGGAAGACTCATGATCTGGATGAGGTTGTCACGGGCTGGAAGTGTGGCCCATGGTGTGTCTTACTGTGCTACCATACACATCATATGATCTTCTTTGGGGAAGCCAAGCCAAAATCTTCATTGACTTCACTCTCCTTCTTGGGCAGTCCCTAGTCAATGAGGAATTCCAGCCTCCACCACCTGAAGGATCTTTCCAACCCAAAACCTTCCAACCTAAGTCCCTGGTCCCGGACAAAAAGATCCCTGAAATGTTTCCACAGTTGTCTGCCAGTGTAGCTCTGCTCCTCCTTCTTCTGTCAGTAGCTTTAGGGTTTGGGCACACAACCAGGTAAGTGTAAGATAAAGTTGAAATGGGTGTTTTCATACCAATGTTGGATATTTTTAGTAGCTTTCCATCTCTCCTTGTGCCTGGGTGATGGTAGTGGTAATGACTGGTAGACAGAGTTGCCAAGGGCCACAAAATTTTATCACATAATGTTGCAATCTTTGTTTCTAAAGTTGTGCTAATGATTAACTGTTAGATAATGCTTAATGTATTAGATAATACTTAAATATTATGTGTAGATAATACTTAATGAGTTGCACTAGTGATTAATATTGCATCACTGCATGTTGAGGCAACGTAAGTATTTAAAAATTCTGTGTTATTCCCAGCTGTTGGATAGCTTCAGTCAAACCTCCCTATTGCTCACTACTGCTTTTGGGTGGCTTTTATCCACCCAAACATGTGTGACAGCTGCTGCTCTTACCAGCAGAAACAGTGGGAAGTAATCCAATGCTTCCTGGTAATTTGGATCTTCTAATTTCTCCCCCCTTCCTGTATTAACATGTGCATCTCAGATTCTTTGCATCTGGTTCAAACTTTCCACTTGGACAAAGTAACTGGGTTGCTGGTTAGGCATTTAGTTCACCAGAATTACTGTCTGTGGTGGTTTTGTAACTCAGGATAATCATAGTGAAGCTTAGGCTAGTCCTAAATGAAACAAGGTGGATATTTGATACATCTTTTTAATAAGCTAAGAAGGTTTTATGTCCTGGTTTGTTCTGACATACTTAGAGTAACTCTGATTTTAATTTTTTTTCCCTCCTCTCTATTCCTAAAGACTTTGTCTCTAAAGTAATCCACAGTTCAGCTGCTTCCTTAATTTCTAACTCCACCTTATGCAGAATAGGCATCTTACAAAACCCAAACCAAACAAAGTAGAAATGAACTTGCAACAAATTCTTTTCTGAGCATTTTTTTTGTCATATAGAAGGTGCCAGTTCTAGGAGGAGAGAAGTGTTAGCAAGGAAGTAAATCTGCATGAAACATGCTCTCTTGTGTTAATACAACTACTATCTTTTCTTTTTAAGGATTTCTGGAGTGTCTACAACAACATTCCTCCTGTGACAAATTTGCCTCTGAGGTGTAGTTACCATTTAATGAGGGGAGAAAGACGTCCACTTTGGTATGTATGTGATCATTAGGCATTTCTGGGAGTGTGGAGAACCTAGAAGGGGTGAGAAGCTCACCATGAGCTGCAGTGTGTGCTAGCAGCCCAGAAAGCTAATCCAGTCCTGGGCTGCATCAAAAGGAGTGTGGGCAGCAGGTCAAAAGAGGTGATTCTGCCCCTCTGCTCCCGTGAGACCCACCTGGAATACTGCACACAGTTCTGGTGCCTCAACATAAGAAGGACATGGAACTGT